GCGACCGCATCAGCAGACGCAGTTTAATCATTTAATGGTCTATTTTTTATTATGGCTGAACATAGTGTACTAATTCAGTGTTTATCTTTCTTCTTTTAATGAAGGGAAAATTCTAATGTAGAGGGAGAAAGATGTATGCATATACATTTGTTTCACATATTTTCTATCAAACGATAATGCTGTTTGAATGAAACAATAATATCATTTAGATTAAAGAGAATATTCCTTTCGTTTCAAACAAATATTTTACTTCTGACAAAGATATATATTATTTCAAATTCAAACAATCGTACTTGTTTGTTAATTCAAACATTGATTTGTTTCGACCATTTCAAATATCAAATTTGTTTGGATACAACAAAATTTATTAAATCCAAAGAAATCGTTTTCTCTGTGTACTGACTCTTCCATTCGAAGTAAACGGAATAATTGGAAACGACGAATTTTGAATAGAACCCACAATCTTATGTTTGTTACATTCGATTTGTAAACTTCTATGCTGCCTCTTTCTATACTGTAGTTGAAGAATTTAACTCGTTGCCTCCAGACCTTTCTTCCTCTTACATGTTTTATTTCGAGCGGCCGTTCGATTTCAATTTTTTTTTAGTTCTTCCTGCGATCTTTAATAAATTTATTACACTTTTCTCAGCTGCTTCCGCTTCTGTGGCGGATTTATTCTTATTTAAACGTAACGTACAACATTTTACTCACCGTATCCCTTCATTATTCCGTGCGTCAGGTACAATGGCGCCCGGCCGGCAAACGCATCCTTGGCAAAGGTCTGCCTTACCAGCTGTGGATCCGATAACAATACGGTGTACACAGAACCCATCCGTAGACCACAAACCGGGCCATATTTCCTCGCCAGTTCCGTCAGCGACACGTGAGGACGGACGGGGTCTAGCCATGGTAGATAACCGAGCAGTGGGATCCCGCAGGGTCCCGGCGGAAGTCGAAGTTTGCGATTTTTATAAAAGAAGACGTAGACAAGAAGCACGAGCGACACGCTCAGGATAATAAAGGCTATCATTGTGATCCTGTTTCAGCGGAAGCGGTGGAAACGCGATGCTGCGTCGCCTGCAAATTAAAGATATGATGCTTTTGAGCGCGACAGTGCACTTTTTATTTCCGGCAGAGAGAGAGAGAGAGAGAAAGAAATTGTACGATGCTGGTCTCGTTGCGAGATTCTCAAGCGAGATGCAGCGCGCGCGCAAAACGATGGACCATTTTCGTAACGAATAATCGAGTCGCTCGAATCGTCATCGCGCCCCGTGAAAGACCCTCGCGCGGATGCAATAATAAATTACGCGAATGTGCCCGACGACTCCCCTCGGTGAACGTTCGTAATCGAGGGAGCGCGATTCCACCATTCCAGGAATGGCGACAACGGCAGAAGCGAATGACAAACACAAACCTTTCTCCGCGTCTTATGGCGCGCGCACGCACTTGTGAGCAAAGTTATATCTCATTAGCGAGGCACGCGCACGTACACAATCGCGGCGAGGATAAGGAACGATTCCGTGCTGCGACTACGCGATATAGGCCGACACGTGGTCAAACACGTGCCGGTGAGCCGGCGATGAATCGAGGAAGCTTACTTTCGATGGCGCGCCGGCGAGATTTTTATTAGCCATCACCGTCAGTTCGGTTCGCGAATGCTTAGCGGTTACGGCATTTCGTTTTTTTTTATTGTCATTCAAACCGCTGCGTGTAAAGTTGACCCTTTCACGTCTAATGGATAATAAATGTTTCGAGTTTCCCGGATAAGAGAGTCTCCGAGTAGCCATGAGAACACCGCACTTTGTGATTGATATCGATTGACTTCTTAATAAATGTTTAAACCCAAGTGTATTTATATAAATTTATTTCAATAAATATATATAGGTTTAAATGATAATTGTTAAATGATTATTTAAGAAAATAATAATTGATTTATTAAAATAACACGTTCTATTTTACATGTATTATTTTAATCTCAAATTTAGAAAACAGTTTCACACGCAACAATCTTGAACTTGTGTATTCTTTAACACTAAAAGAACCAGCCCCGTTAAAATGACGGATTTCTTGTTTTTGATTGAACGACAGGAATTATTAAGGTGCTGTTATTGGAATTTATGTTGACTCTTGTAGAGATAAGAAATGATTGTAAATGCAGTTACCGATTAAATTTGATTGAAAAAACCGATCACAGTTTTCATCGGATGTACAATTTAATCGGATATATTCATTTGTTATTAATGTAATTAACTGTAATTAAGCCACCTTAATGTCTGTATTTTCATTTATTTACTTGATGTCCGATATTCACCCGTAACTTGTTTTTATATCTACTTTTATATACTGTAAAATTATACTGAGAGAGACTTGTTAATAAAATCGAAATGTTCACTTAATTATTTGCAAGTTAATTAATAGATAATAAAAAGATATTCACAGGATCTTATCTTATCAATCTCATAATTAGTGTTTGCATAGTTGGCTCTTCTCTCCCTTTAATTTACATAACAAATCAAATGAAAGGAGAGTTTGCTTATTGTCACCGGTAATGATAAAAAATTGAGACGGTAAACTTATAGTCAACCCAACTGGCTAGTTATTTAATTAGTTTATTACACAACGTTTCGACTCTATTCTTTTGGGTCCTTTTCGAGTGGTACTAAGTCAGTCATCGTCGAATAAGACAGGGTCGAGTTGTAAAATATATGTATACGAGTGAGCACTATGGTAGCTGGGCTCGAACAGTTTGAGCCCATAAAATGAACCCACTTAAAAATCTCCATCAAATCGAGGTGGTAAATTAGATACGCATGCAACGCTGATTGTTCTAGTATTAAATTTTGTAAAGTTTTAATAAGAATTTTGGAGGTTAATGTATTTTACGTATCACACAAGCCATGCTTGTTGAATAAGTTATGATTTAAAAACACCGATATTCTTAATGCGTAACAATTACATGAAATATTAGTTCTGAAATATTAGTCGGAAAACTCAGGAAACAAGTTTAACATTGTGCGAAACTTACCAAATCTGCCAACACCGGAATCTTGCCGCAGAAGCTGGCAGCCACGATGCCCACGTCTTGAATGATATTATAACTGATTGAGCGGGAATTATAAAACTCGAATCTGCAGCAGAGAAAAGATATGCGCGATTTTACATAAAGAAATGTACAGATAATTAATACTTACGTGATAAATGTTGGTGGGGATAAACACTGAACTATAAATGTACATACAACTGTCGTTTTTCGAAGGAAGTATTGTATATATTGTAGGAAAGACTATAACACGCGTTGTAACAGCGACCACGATATCGAGCTAAGTGTCGTTGCCAAGCAGTTGACGAAAGTGATCCCTCCAGATCGTTTGACTACCAAATGAACTCCTTCTTGCTGCGACAGCAGATATGTGTACCGTGATATTCGACGACACTAAAGTAGAGTTGACGTTTTCACGGGTATTAAAAGTCAAGATAAAGCCTTGTTCGTAAGAATTTAACAGTATTTAATGATTTTTTCTGAACAATTATTTAAAGGCATTGCAATATTTCGACTGACCAGAAAAATATGATATCGATATATCACGCTTAGGTAGTGTCACTTATATTTAACGTGGATTGATTTTGGTGTGTTAGGAATTTGTGTTATGAATTATGAAATGTATACTGTAGTAGGAGTAAAGATTGGATTTTTGTGCCCAATTAGTTTCAAGATCTTTTTCAAATAGTCGTAAATTGCGCGGACAAGTATTCCCGACAAAGCAGATCACTCGATTCATAAAAAATCAAAATGACCTGTTTACACTCCTGTTTGACACTCGAGTAAAACTCAGGTAAAATACGCAAGACTTGACTTCGAGCTATTTCTATTTCTGCAAATGGCCTTTTTCCACAAAAAAATGAAGGTACTATAAGTGTATAACTCGAATACAGAGTAACCTTTCAACCTTTTGATAAATAAGCAGATATTTTCTAAAGCTTTGGTCATTCATGAAAAATATTGCAAGTCCAATTCAGACTTTGAAACAGAGTAGCTGTGTGAAAGGTTGCATCCCTACAATTTTTTTTTAACTTTATGAACGAAATGATGAGTACGTTTGTTGGAAATTAGGCGCCAAGTTTATTAGAAAAAAGGTCGTGGCAAGTGCGTTGATCGAAATTCTAATTAAATTCAATTAAATATTGTGTTTTCCTATATTTATCTACCGTGGGTAAATAAAAGCTTCGCGTAATCAACCAGTTCCTCGTAAGTCGCATTTGTGGTTATGAGAGAACGTTATAAATGTATTCCTAATGGTTTTTATATACGTAGACGCATACAAAACTACCAACGACCCGTTGCCCTTATACACACACACACACACACACACACACACACGATTGGCCTTCTCGACTCACTTTACGATCCTGTGCGCTCACCTCCGCTCACGTGAGAGCTGTCGCTCGCCTTCGCCAATCACGTGCGAGTTTATACGTGCCCCTGCAGGCCGAATTCAATTTATTTGATACGTGCCCGAACGCTCGCGTTAAAGCGAGGGAGAGAAATAAAAAAAGGAGAAGAAGAGCTCAATTTCCTATCGACCTACTGGCCGCCTGAAGAATTTCGGTGGCTACTTCAACCGTCGAAGACGCTCCTCGACTTCTCGGGAAACTGTATTTGAGAAATAACGAGAAATTTTGAATCTTTTAACACTAATACTCGAAAGAACTATTTATGGCAATATATTTATGCAATCGTATTAATTGGCTACAATAGAGAATCTCGAATTAAGACCGGAGACTTGTCGCTAACCGGATTGGCGAAGACAGTTCGATGTCGATAATTGATGCCTCTAAGTGTGAAAATGCTGAAAATATGCGAAATATTCTATTTCTTTAAATTCGTAATAATACTTTGTTTCACCTTCAATTTATTTCACAAAACTGAATCAAATATATATCGCGTGGAAAATTAAGAATGATTCCTTTCTTTCTTCGATTTAAGATGAAAAACTTACAACGGACAGTAATGACTTTCTCCCGCGCTTCGTTTAAAGCGCGACGGAATGAAAAATGCGCCTCGAAAACGTTTTGCGGGAAGTGACGAGCTGCTGAGCAAATCGGTGGGCGCACAAGCCGCCCTCGGCGCGTGCAGAATCCGCTCGCGCGCTGCAGATAAATCTCGAACAACGCGTGTTCACACACAACGAAGATACGTGAGGACGCCTGCTATGCCCGTAGCCGCGGAACGTGACGGGCGCGCCACTTTCCCTCCGCCGTAAACCGAACTGGATTGTGCGGAGGAGGAAGAGGAGCAGGAGGAGTCTCGCTCCGGGAGAGGATGACGAAGAAGAGGAGACGAAGGAGAGAAGACCGAAACGTGATCGGCCGTGCACGTTGCACGGTAATCGAAACGCACTCTTGGGACTCACCTACGACGGACGGCGGATCGCACGCACTCGGAAACGTGAGGCACGTTGGTGATAATTGCGCGAACGCGCCGCGCAATTATCATCGATCGTACCGCTTTGCAGCGATACCCGACCGAGAGGTCGTCATCGAGCTTCCTCGGAGGCACGTGCTTAGCTAATAAAGGTCCTACCCTACTAACACAGAGTGCATCGGCTAAACATTGGTTAAACGTTGATCCAGTGTCTAGCCAATGCACTGTGCCACGAGGGATATTCTCGCGTGATCGGTACAAGCTTCACTTCCATCCGACAACACGCGAGGAGTGTCCATACGCTGTATCATAACTCGCCGGAGATGAATGATTTAATTTTTGGATTTCCAGGTGTACGCACTGAGAAGAAAGGTAGCATTTTATGTCCGATCGCTCTGCAATTTCTACGTCAGATGAGCTTTTAAGTAAAAAATTTGCGATCGCGAAAGAAAAAGGTGACGTTGAATATTTCCAGTTCCCCAAAAGAAACGGAAGACTCGTGGGTTCGTTTTCTGGCCCAGAAATTAATTGGCGAGTTGCCTCAGCCTCACTTCCTCCGACAAAGAGGCGCTAAAACTTGCGATCGATAACTCCACGCCACGGCGTGATGGCGCGATTATGGGGAGAAATGGAGGAAGAGAACGAAGGGCGGACGTCGACTTCTTAATCGGCTCCTGCTCGGACCTCGATGAATAATACGAACGGCCGCTGATGAGAGATCAGTAGCCCCTGCGGTGGACCACCGCGCGACTCCCTCTCCCTTTTCCGCGAGACCCCCTTTGCCTGATTCTGGTATGCACCGTCGACCGCGGAACAAATGCTATCTGACGGGACGTGCAACGACCGACAAAGGTCACTCGCGACGTTAAATCTGCATATCGTTTCTCGCGCGTGTCTCGTTCATTCTCCTCCGGCGCGCTGAATCGGCCGGCAGGTAGGAACACCGCTAGGATCGCACTGGGCAGACGGTCGAGGTGGATGCGGCAGCGTCTGATTCGATATCGAAACGCGGGAGATTCCTGGAAGGCGCCAGGAAGACGGTTCCACGATTGACGATTTTTCGTGTCGTACCGTACGATCGAGCGAAAGTAACACGAGTGTATTCTCAACCGCCGTGTAAAAAAAAACCGGTTCGACTTTTGGTACACGCCGGGAGACCAATGTAAAGTTGATTAATCTGGAAACAGTGAAGAACAGTAAAATTTGTAAAATCAGTTTCGTTAAATTTGCCACATTAACTATAGTCCTCTTTCCATTCTTCTCTTTTCTTCTCCTTCTTTTACTCTTAAACTTAGGAAGACTATTACTCTTCCTTTTACAATGTTTGATTCTGTTTGACTCTTTCTTTTATGCATATAGAATA